ATATATATATATTATATATATATATATATATATATATATATATATATATATATATATATATATATATATATATATATATAATATATATATTATATATATATATATATATATATATATATATATTCATATATATACACTATATGTATATATACGGATATTATATATATATATATACATATATATAAATATATATATATATATATATATATATATATATATATATATTATCCGTATATATATATATATATACATATAGCGGCGCACAGGGTCCGGGGGCCCGGGGCCGGGACCTCGACCACAAATGTGGGCCCCGGGGGCCCCGGAGGCTCGTCGGGGCTTGCCAGAGGCCTCCCCGGTCAGACAAGACGGCCCAAGAAGCGCCCAAGACGGCCCAAGAAATTTCCAAGAGGCCTCCAAGAGGGCTCCAAGATGCTGAAGATGGCCTCCAGACGTCCAAGGACGCCCCCAAGACGCCCCAAGAAGCCTCCAACATGCGTCCCAAGAGGGCCCCTATACGCAAAAATTGGCCCATTCCCTTCGTAAAACGTACATTTTCACAAAGTCGCCTTTTGGGCTTTCCGACGTTACAGGACGGCCCAAGAGGCGCCCAAGACCGCCCTAAGAGACGGCCCAAGAAGCTTCCAAGAGGGCCCCAGGACAGCCCAAGAGGGCCCCAAGACGGCCCAAGAGGCGCCCAAGATGGCCCAAGAGGGCCCCAAGACGGGCCCAAGAGGGGGCCCAGAGGGGGACCACGAACCGCAAGCTCGAGCCTTCCGCCCCAAGAGGCCGCCAGGAGGCCCCAAGGAGGCCCCTCAAGAGGCCCCAGGAGACCCCCAAGAGGCCCAAAGGAGGCCCCGAGAAGCCCCAAATCGGCCCCCAAAATGCTTCGAACCTGCTTCCAGGAGGCCCCCGACAGGTTCAGAGGCTCCCGAGAAGCTACGTCAAACTCCCAGCGAGCGGCCGGACGAGGCCCCCCACAAAATCACAAGAGGGTTCTAGTACTTGTATCCTTCAGCGCTCTCTGGCCTTGTTCCCCCTGCCCCCTTCCCTGCGACTTTCGTTGACTCAAGCTCGCCTCCTAGCTAGAAGCTGAGCGCGCGAAGCGCGCGCGTGATTCTAGTATATATATATACATAAAAATATATTCATATATACATATATATGTACATATACATATACATCTACATTTTTACACGCGTATCTTGAACGCTGTCCCCCGACGGGGGCCTGGTACATTGAGACCACTCCGCGGAAATCCCCGCACCCGCCTCCCCCGCGACCCTGGTAGAGCCCCAAGATGGGCGAAGACACCCGCATATGGCGTCATACGACCTTCAGAGGGGCTATGGGAGCGCCGAAACGGTCCAAGAGAATTGGCCCTAGGCCCCGAAGATGCTGTCAAGACGTCCCACGAGGCTTCCTGGACGCCCGAAGAGAACTCCGAAGAGGACCCCCCAAAGTCACTTTTATGTTCCTGCTGATTTGCTGTTTGTTGGTTTTCGTGTCGTCGATGTTTCGAGCTGCTCTTTCTCTACGACGGCCACAGAGGCCCACGTTACCGCTTCCAGACGGTCCAAGAAGCCCTCAAGAGCGCCCAAAGACAATTCAAGAAAGCCCCAGGTCAGCTCAGGAGATCCCCAAGGCGACCCCAAAGGCCCTCAAGGCGGCTCCAAGAGGGGGGCGGCCAAGGGTTTTTCGGAAGGCTCTGGGCCCCAGATGGCACCCAAGCCCCAAAAGTGCCTTCAAGATGCCCGAAGAGGCTTCCAAGATGCCCCACGAGGGCCCAAAGAGAACTCCGAAGAGGGCCCCGGAAGGCAGCAATCGGTCATGCTCTTCGCTTTTAATATAAAAGATGGAATTGCAAAACAAAGTATAAACCATATGTTGTTTTTAGACATGTTTTGTTATATATATATATATATATATATACATATATACATATATATGTATATACATATAAAACTGTATATAAGTGTCTATGTATATATAGACATATATGTATATATATATATATACATATAAATTTGTATATAAGTGTATGTATATATATATATATGGAGTTGCTGTTCTCAGCGTCTCGGGTTGCCAGCTCCCTAAAGCAGTCCGAGAGGCCCCCGCGATCGCTTCAAAAGGCCCGAGAGACCCCCTGAGAGAGCGCCAAGAGTGTCCCAAGCCAGCCCAGGAGGCACCCACAGCGATTTGAAAGGCCTTCAAGGCGGCCCCAAGAGGGGGACCCTGAAGGGTTTTGCGCAGCGGTCTGGGCCCCAGAATGCCACTAGGCACCGAACATGCTTTCAAGACGGCCCAGGAGGGCAGGTTGTTGGGTGTTTTTTCGCGTTCTCGCTCTTTCGGCCTGCCAGCTCCCGAAGACGGCCCAAGAGGCCCACACTGTCGCCCAGGACCGACCGGTCTCATTCTCTTGCGCAGTGTGCAGGGCCATACGGGCTGCTGCGCCAGGTTCTGTTGTCCCCGAGTTGCGCGAGGTCGGTGCCAAGCGGGGGCGCCGAATCGTCCCGCGGATTTCCGACGATGCTGCGCCTCCCGAGGGCTCACGCGACCCAGCGTGGTCCCCCAAGGGGGGTTCGGGTGCGTGCGGTGCCCGGTGTCTGGGGGGCACCGTGCAGATCCTCAGGGTCAACCCCATGTAGGCCTGGTGAGGGGCACCGCATCTGGACGATCGCGCCCTACGGAGGGGCGTTAAGGAACGTGCCCAGGAGGCTTCAGACCCTGGAGGGTTCCTTCTGCGACGAGGGCGGCGGGGATATCCATGGCCAGTCCACGATCGGCTTTCCACTGGCTTCCAGACCCACCCTGGATTCCTTATCTGAGGTTTCCTTATCCACTGCCCTCACCGCATGTCTTCTGCGCGGCGTGCGGTGCCCACAGCGGGTCCAGTGCCCAGAAGCTCGGTCAGGCCCGTCGCAGAAAGGTGTCCGCGCGGGTCGGTTGCCTGGAACCGCCTGAGTGAGCCGTGGAGTGGCCTCCGCCCGCGCACGGGAGATCCGAGCCAGTGGGCACAGGAAGCGGCCTGAGACGTGCGACGGGGGCGCCTGTTGAGGAATAGTCCCAGGAGGCGCCAGACCCTGGGGGATTCCTTATCCAATGAGGGCGGTGGCGATATCCATGGCCGATCCACGATGGGAGTTCCACTAAGAGGAGGAGGAGGAGGAGGAGGGGGAGGAGGAGGAGGAGGAGGAGGAGGAGGAGGAGGGAATGAGGAGGAGGAGGAGGAGGAGGAGGAGGAGGAGGAGGAGGGAGGAGGGAGGAGGGAGGAGGAGGGGGAGGAGGAGGCTCCAGGGGCTCCTTGTCCAGTGCCGTCGCCGTGCCCCCTCTGGGCGCCCTCGCCCTCGACCCCACGCGATGAAGGACCTGGAGGTCCTGCCTGCGTCTGAGGTGAGGAGGCGGCTCGGGTTGGGGTCCAGGGTGTTCGCTCCCGTACGCTCGGAGAGAGTGCGTCTCCTCGACGGCGGCGCTCCCTCCTCCCCCCCCTCCCCCCCCCCCTCGCTCTCTCTCTCTCTCTCTCTCGAGGTGCCCAGGGCGCCCCTCCTTGCGCCTCTTGGCGCGAGGCCGTTGGCTCTGTGCGTCACGCTGCACCCCTTGCCCCCAGCAGCACGAAACTCGTCTTCCTCCCCCTCCTCCTCCTCCTCCTCCTCCTCCTCCTCCTCCTCCTCCTCCTCCTCCTCCTCCTCCTCTTCGTCCTTCTTCTCCTTATCACGCCTGCACTTCTCTGAACCCACCGCCTCTTGGAGCATCTTGGAGGCCTCTTGGGGCCGTCTTGAGGCGGTCGTCGCCGTCTTGAGGCCGTGCCGGGCCGTCTTTGAGTCGTGTCTGTCGGGCTTGTATGCCTTCTTTTGACCGTTTGGGATGCCTCTTGGACCGACTTGGATGCCATCCTGGACCGCCTCCGGGGGGCAACTTGGGCAACTCTGGCCGTCTACGATCGGACGTTGTGCGCCGATGGGGCTCGCCCAGGCGGCCAGCGGCTTGGGCCAGAAGCCGCTGGGAACTTCTTGGAAGGGCCAAACAGTCTTCAGAAGTCTTGCACGCCAGGCAGCCTTTTGCAAGCAGAAGCGGATGGCAGATCCAGTACGGCGGGGGCGTTCGTTAAGGAACGTGCCCAGGAGGCTTCAGACCCTGGAGGGTTCCTTGTCTGATGAGGGCGGCGGTGATACCCATGGCCAGTCCACGATCGGCTTTCCACTGGCTTCTAGACCCTGGATTCCTTATCTGAGGTTTCCTTGTTCAATGCCCCCACCGTTATTTTTTTTCGACCAAGCCCGCCACCGCGCCTGGATTTTGGACCGGAGGCCCCTTATTCTTCTCTTGGGAATCCTCTTGGAGGCATGTTTGGGGCCTCTTGGGGATCTCCTTGAGGCCCTTGCTGCCTCTTGGGGGCCTCTTGGCGCCTCTTGGGGCTCTTTGGGGCGTCCTGGCGATCTCACAGACAATCTTGCGTTGGGAGGCTCGACGTTTCAGTTCGAGTTCCCCTCGTGGGTGGGGCCATCTTGAGGGCCTCTTGGGTCCTATTAGAGGGTCTCTTGGGCCATCCTGGGGCGATCTTAGGGGCCTCTTGGGCGTTCTTAGGGTTGAAAAGCCGCAGATCACTTGGCATCGCTCGGACGTGTGCATTATTCTCGACAAGGACCATCGAGGAGTATCCTGGCCCATCTTGAAGAAAAAGCGCATGGCATCAAAGCATGCACGGGGAATGTATGTCCGAGCGATGGCCAGATAATGAAGTCACACCAAAGCGTGAGATGTTCCAACGACACTGTAGTCCAAGGTGTGCCTCATCATCGGTGAGCTCTTTGAATGTCTTGGCATCGCTCGGACGTGTGCATTTTTCTCGGCGAGGGTCATCTGGGATCATCTTGGACCATCGTGCGAAAAGCCAACGCACGAAATCGACAAATGCACGGGGGATGGACGTCTGAGCGATGGCAAGATATTCGTTTCACGTCCACGCCAGTATCCCACGCAATGATAAGTGCGTCGGGAGCTTTGGCTTCACCCAGCCTCGTCGGCTCGATAGTGCCATTCGGGCTTCTGTGCCAACAGCGCCCTCCCAAAACAAATCGAGGGGCCAGCAGCAATGTCTCGGCTGTTCCACTGCGAGGAGCAGTTGCGCAAGCAAGCCGAGCAGCTGACCAAATTGAAAACCCAGGTTGACATCCTCCGGGATTGCATGAGCGAGCTCAGCTTGCGGCAGCACTCGGCCGTCACCGAGCTGAGTCACATAGGGAGTCGGTTGCCGGCCATCGTGCAGCACCCCACGGCGCAAGATGAGCACCTGGACACGCACCGTCAGCGCATGGACGCCCAGGACGAGCGCATGAGAGAGCTCGAGGCGCCGCGGGGTGGCAAGCGGAGATGGAATCGCTGGGGTCGGCCAGCCCATCCTCGGAGGAGATGGGGGATGCGCGCGAAAGTGACCTGTTCCTCGGAGGTCTCGGGGAGGGGAGTCCGAAGCGAAACGTGAGGTGCCCGAACTGAGAAACCGCCGCGTTTCGCGTGTGTCGTGTGCTGGGGGCGAGGCGAGGCGAAGCTTGTGTTCGGTCGGGCCTGTCCCTCTACAGGAGGAACATTCAAAAATAGAGAAAAAATAGTCTGGGCACGATAATTTGACTATTGTTGATCATGTTTGTAATCTTGTTTGACATTTGTTTTCAAATGTTCGTCCAAAATCCCCCTGTAGGGGGCAGGCCCGACCTAAAGCTTGTGCGAGTTCCTGCTTTAGCAGGGGCCGAGGCAGAGCAGATGGCGCCCCTGAGGTCTGGGCCGTGGCTCTCGCCAGTGGCTTTTGGGTTTTCCCGAGGGATGTCTCGATGGTTGTCCCAAGGTTTGTCCCGATGGTTGACTGGTTTTAAGTCGGGCCTGTCCTTCTACAGGGGAATATAATTAAAAATCGTCAAACAATGGTATGGGGAAGATTGTTCCACTAGTTTTGGCTGGTTTTGACAGTTGTGGGGTGTTTTTGTCCAAAATTCCCCTGTAGGGGGACATGCCTGACCTACGACTGGTTGATTGTCCTGGTGTATGTCCCGATGGTTGTTCCGATGCTTGCCCCGGTGTATTTCCCAATGATGGCCCCGATGGCTGCTCCGATTGATGATAAACAGTGAGATGGACAGATAAATTGATAGTCGCATCGAGAGATAGATCGCGAGACGGTCAGATAAGGAAATCGGCAGTTTATCATATGCTGAAGTACCCGGGCTCCAGGCCCCAGGCCAGGACACCCTCCTGGATTTCCCCCTCCCCTCCTCCTTTGAAACCCTCCCCCCGGGGGCCTCCCGGGCCTTCCCCTGGCCGCCCAAAACAGCTCCTGGGAGCAAGACTCAGCGACAGGAGCAGCGCAATAGGGCCCAAGACGCTCCAAGATTGCGGCCGAAGAGCCCCCGAGAGACCCCCGAGACGCGCCAAGAAGGCTCCAAGATGTTCCCCAGGAGGGTCCGGGATGGCCAAAATTGCCCCAATCTTTTCGCATAACGTACGTGTTCAGCAGATTCGAATAATCTTGACAGCGTCCAGTCGACCCAAGAGGCCCCCAAGATCGCCCCACCACGGCCCCAGAGGCTCCCAAGAGGCCCCCAGGCCGGCCCAGGAGAGCCCCCAGATGCGGCCCACGAGGGCCCCAATGGGGGGGATGCCAACTGACATGTCGAGCCCTCCGCCACACGTGGGGTCCCGAGGCCGCGGGCAGGCCCAAAAGAGGCCTCTTGGGGCCCCCAGAGAGGCCCCAAGAGGCCCCCGAATGCCCCCTGAATGGCCCCAGGAAGCTTCAGAACTCGCTCCACGAGGCTCCCGAGAAGAATGCCAGGAGTCCCTGGATTATTGGTATCCGCGAAGCCTCTCGCCCAAAACTCAGGCACGGTGGCGGTATGGGCCGAAGGCCATAGATCCGCTGCCTCCTGTGGCTTTGCCACAAGTGGTGCCTGGCGTGCTGAGGTTCAGATGGTTTGGGGCAATTTTTTAACTCCCTTCTGGGGCTTAGGCACAGCGCGCCGGCCACAGGGAAGGAACCGCAAACAACCTCAACGTCTGGGAAACGATGCTCAAGACGGCTGAAGGTGGCCCAAGATGGCCTCCAAGATGCTTCCAAGACGGCCACTATTGCCCCAAGAGAGCCCAAGATAGCCCCAAGATGGTCTCCACGACGGTCCCAAGATGCCTCCAAGACCACTTTGATGATTTTGCCTCCAAGACCAGCCTCATTAGGTTTTTCAAGGGTTTGGGCACTTCTTGAAAATAGGCGTCCGACGGCCCAAGACGGCCCAAGAGGCCCCTGGTATTGCCCCCAGATCGCGCAAGAGGCCTCAGGCCCCAGAACGGCCCAGGAGGCTCCGAAGACGGCACCCAAAGGACCCCAAGACAGCCCAAGAGGCCTCCCAGACGCCCAAGATGGGCTCCAAGACGACCCTGAAGCGCCCCACGAGGGCCCCAAGACGGCCCAGAGAGGCTTTTAAGACGGTTTCTGACAGCGTCAGACGGGCCAGGAACGCCGTAAGACGGCCAAGGGGGCCCCAAGAAGCCTCGAAATGCCCCCAAGAGGCCCCCAAGAGGCCTCCACAATTGGCCCCCACGAAGCTCCCAGGAGGCTCAAATAATGACCCAAGAAGCTCCCAAGAGGTCTCCTCATTCTTCTCCTCATACTCCTGCTGCCTCCCTCTCCTTATCCTCCACTTCCTCCCCCACGTGTTCCCCCGAAGGGCTTCAACAACGGCGGGGGGAATGCATGGTCCAAGAGATAGGGTGGCCAAACTTGGCCCAAACGTTTGGCCACATGGGCCGTAGGCGTCTTCGATAATTTGGCCTGGCGACGGAGCCATCCCTGTGCAGTCATATGCAGCGCAAGGCGCGAGTCTCTCTTCACTGCGCGCCGCGGGGCAATACCAAAAGCGGGCTGCTGCGGAGCACGCGTGCACGCGCGCGCGCTGAACTCTCCGTAGGACACTCTCCGGGTGAAGGGCGTGCCGACCGCGCGAACACGTCTACTGAGGCCGCAGGTGGAGCTCCTCTGGGCACGACCCGTGCGAGGCATGTTCCAAAATGGGCGGGGGGACGCCATGCGAAGCTGCCCGTTGGTGCCACAAGTGGATCTCCTTCTAGGGCATGCGTGATTCGTGTGCCGGTGTGCTGACATGGGCGGGGGGTCGCTGTACGAACCTTGTTTCTGGGGCTCTAGGTGGTGCTTCCAGCGGGCACGATCCTCGTTATGAGGTGTGCCGCAGTGGGCAGGGGGGTGGCGCAATGCGAACCCTGCCTCTGGGGCCGTAGGTGAAGATCCCTGTGGGCCACGATCCGTGTGAGAGATGTGCCGAAATAGGCGGGGGGCAGGATGCGAACGTAGTCTCTGGGGCCGTCCGCAGAACTCCGTGGGGGCCACGATCCGTGTGAGAGGCGTGCCGAAGTCAGCGGAGCGGCGCTATGAAACTTCCCTGGCGTCTCTAGGGCCTCCTGAGCCGTCTAACGGCGCTGTTGGGCCATCGGACGCATCCAGAAACCGTCGCGGGAGCCTCAGGTATTGTCATGGGGATATTCTGGACGCTGTAGGGCCGTCTTTGAGCCTTCTGGATGCGGTGTTCTGGACCTCTTGGGGGCCATGTTGTGGCGCTGTGCCCGTCTTGGGACCATCGGGGGCTCCTTTGGCCGTCTTCAGGCTGTCGGACCTTCTCTGGCTGCTGGAAGCCCGAAAAGGTGAGAAAACGGAAACCATTCAAACAGGTAAACCAATCAGTGGTTTGGGCTTCTTCAGGCTGCCTTGCAAAGCCTCAGGCCCCCACCAGGTCGTTGTGGCCGCCTTGGAAGCATAATGGGGCAAACTCGAAGGCTTCTTGGGGCACTCGTGCCGTCTTGGAGGCCAGCTGTGACCGTCTTGGGCCTCCTGGGCCCGTCTTGAGGACCTTATTGGGCCATGCTGGCGGGCTTGGATGCCGGTTATCCTGATGTCGGGTGCGGCGTGCGGTGGCGGCGGACGGGTCGAGAGCCACAAGGGATTTGCCGGAGCGGCCAATCGTCTTGGCAGGCCGTACGCCTCTCTTACAAGCTGCAGGTGGCGCCAGACCGAAGACGCCTACTGCGAGTCGCCGCCCCTGCCTTTGGGGAAACGCCTATATGTGTTTGACCGTTGGTAAGAGTTTGGGCAAGCGTTTGGAGTGCGTGCTCCCACAGCCGTTGTAAAAGCAATGTGTGGAACATGGGATGGCCTCTGGGGGGCCTTCTCGGGGTATTGTCGGGGGCCTCTTGGGGGACTCTTGAGGATCTCTTGGGGGCCTCTGGGGGCGTCTGCTGATCTCTTGGGCCGGTTTGAGACCATCTTGGGGCGACCAGGAGCTTCTTTGGGTCGTCTTCAAGCTGTCTTGGGTTTTTGAAAGGCAGAGCACGCCCTCAAGGGAGCCGGGGGTGGCCCATGGATCGCTCGAAAAGGAGGATCGAAAGCCACATGACATTTCAAAACGGACAACGAGGAGAGTTAGAAGGCCAACGATGCCCCCCAGGTGGCCCCAAGACGTTCCAGGATGGCTTTCAGACGGCCCAACCAGTCCTCAATATTCCCATGGGGAGATCCACAGGCAACGCGTTATTCATTCTATGTCCTCCGATGCCGAAGACTTTCAGACTCCAGCCAGAGCTTCCTAGAACCAAAGCGCGCGCGAAGCGCGCGCGTGGTTCCAGTAGATAAATATCATGATTGCCCCGAAGTTTGTCCCGCTAGAAAGTTCACTCGACAGATAAAGTGGTAGTGGTATCGGTGCACAGATGGCGAGACCAATGGGTAGTGAGACCGGCCCTTCGATGGGAACATCGATTGGTTGCTCTGAGGGTTGTCTTGGTGTATCCGATTACAGATCTATACAAGAGGGAGGTCGACAAACGCATTGATGATGCGATCGGTTAACAGAGTGAGTCTGGCAGGCAGATGTAATTATGTAATAGTTTTCCCGATGGTTGGCCCCATTGATACATAGCGAGATCGGCACACTCGTATCGATACATAATAGCATAAGTTTGTGGTGCTTTTGATACATGACAGTCGTTAAATGACAGTGCGACCGGTACATAGTGAGTTCGCTCGACCTCTATACATATGGGACGATGATGATTGCCCCGATGGTTGTTCCCGTTGGCAAATGATGATATAGACCGCGGGCTGTTTATGCTATAAGATAGACATGTGGAGAGCCAGATTGCAAGGAGGACTGATAAACGTGACTGCATACATATATATATATATACATGCATACATACATACATACATACATACATACATGCATACATACATACATACCTGCACACAAGCATACACACGGACATACATACGTACGTACCTACCTACATACATACATACGTGCATGCATCATGTATGTGCACAGCTCCGTTGCGAAACTTTGTTCGTCGTGGCTACCAGTGCATGCGTGTCTTAAGGAGTGAGAAGCCACCCAGGTTTGCTTTTCCCGCTGTGCTTTCTCACGGGGAAAAGTCTGGGTTAAGCCCGAAAGTGGCTGGGAGTGCTTTCCCCCCACGTGGCTTTCCGGAGGGAGGGATTCTGCTCACGTGGCCTACGCCATTCCGCTGACCCCCCCCAAGCAGGAGCGAGCGCCTGCGACGAGCTTGGAAGTCATCCAGTGGGCCATGCGCTGCTCGCATGAACATGAGGGGGCTCGTGGGAAGCCTCTCCGGGGCCTTCTCGAGGGCTCCAGGGAACATTCGGCGGAGGATGGCGGAGAAGACCAGGAGGAGGAGGAGGAGGAGGAGGAGGAGGACGAGGACGAGGACGAGGACGAGGACGAGGAGGACGAGGAGTTTCGGAGCCTCCCAGGGGGCGCCTCGGAGGCCTCTTGTGGCCTCTCAGGGGCGCCTCGGGGGCGTCGGGGGCCTCTTGGGGCCATATCCTGGGGAGGAAGGCTCGACGTGTCAGTTCGTATTTTCCTTTTGAGAAAGGCTCGACGTGTCGGTTCGTATTTTCCTTTTGGGGGGCTCCTCTTGGGGCCCTCGTGGGGCTCTCCTGGGCCACCCTCGGGGCCCCGTGTGCGGCCGCCTTGGGGCCCTTTTTTGGGCTGCCTTGGGGCCCTCTTGGAGGCCTCATGTGCCCTGTTGCAGCGATCTTGGAGGCCCCCGTGGGCCGTCGTGGACGCTGGCAAGACGACAGAAGCGAGTATCGAAGACGCTTATGGCGAATCACCGCCGCCCCCTGCCTTTTTTGAACCGCCCACGTGGCCGAACATTGTGGCCGGAGCTCTGCCAAGCTATCGGACCATGTGTTCCCGTTGTGGAAACTCTTCGGGGAACACTTGGGGGAGGATGGCGGAGAAGATCAGGAGGAGGAGGAGGAGAAGGAAGATGGGGCATCTTGGGAGCCTCTGGGGACAGTCTTGGCGCCACCTGGGAACTTCTTGGGGCCTCTTGGAGGCATCTGGGGGGCCTCCTTGGGACTATTGGAGGCCTTTGGGAGCTTCTTGGGGGCCTCTTTGGCCGTCTGAGGGCGTGCCTGGCCCGTGTGACGCCGTCGGATGCGGTCTTGGAGGCCTCTCTGAACCGACTTGGGGCCCCCTTGGGGTGCTCCAGGGCCGTCTTGGAGGCCATCTTGGGCGTCTTGGAGGCCTCTTGGGCTGGCTCGGGGCCCTCTTGGGGCCGTTGTGGGGGCCTCTTGGGCCCTTCTGAGGCCATCTTGGAGGCCATTCGCGCGATCTGCACCGTCCTCGGCACCACCTTGTGGGGGAGGCCGGCTGTGCGCCACAGCGTCATCGGCGCCGCGCCCGCTCGGAGCTTCCCTGATGTGCTGTGGACCGCATCTGCCGATCCGCGATCAGCAGCATCATCCTCCCTCCTCCTGCGAGGGGGGGGAGGAGGAGGAGGCGGAGGAGGAGGAGGAGGAGGAGGAGGAGGAGCACGAGGATGAGGAGGAGGAGGATGAGGAGGAGGAGGAGGAGGAGGAGGAAGAGGAGGAGCACGAGGAGGAGGAGGAGGAGGAGGAGACCGCCTAGATTGCCATTGAGCTGCTCCCATCGCGGTCTTCGTCGGGCTATTGAGATAGCCCTCCCGAGGGGCAGCAGGCTTCTAATTCCCTCTGCTGCGAACAAGAAAGTCCTCCCTCCTCCTTCGATTCCCTCCGCCTCTGCCTCTCGAGCCGCCCCTGCCAGGGCCAGATCGTCAGGCTCTCGACGATCAACTCGCCGCTGCCGGCGAAGGACGACCTGGCCCACGAGGCGCGCGAGGGGGAGATTCGAGCAGTGGCGAAGCGTTCTGGCTTTCCTGTAGTCCCACCAAAACATGTTCTAAGAACCTTTCGTGGTCTGCACGAAATGTTCTTGGAACATTTCTGGTTGGGACTGTCTTGTTATGTTTTGTTTTGTACACATCGGGTTTATGTTCTATGAACATTGTTTTTGTTCATGGAACATTTTCGGGTTCTAAGAGCATTACGTGGTAGCCCTATAGGCATGCCGGGACGCTCGGTCCCTGCTCAAGAGACGGAGCGGGTGGAGCGAAGGGAGGGGTGTCTTCGCGGTGTGCTACGTCGGGGTTGGGGCAGCATTGGTCGGAAAGTGGGGGCCTTTTTCAAGGGGATTGTGTAAGGTTGTGATATGAGAAGCGTCACGCTTCAGCCTCCTCCATGCGGCACATCCCTTAAAATCCCGGTGTGGCCAGCGCCTCTCGTTTCACATGATATGCCCTGTCCGCTAGATTGTGTTAACGCCAGCGAATATCTGAGGGCACCCAGGCTGATCTGGGCTCCAACGCAACGTCGGCCACGAGTTCGTTATTAAAGCGACTCCGTAGTGTTCTGTGTGTAAGCTCTCTGCGTTGTCAACTTCAGCAAATTATCCCGGCAAAGCAACCTAACAGCGATGTGTAGAAGCATATCTGAAAGCATTCCCCTTAAGATTCAGATGAAAATCCAGTTGTCGAATTCTGCTGTTCTCGCAGTCGTAGTCGCATTCGCGATGACAGTCGCAGCGGCAACGGCAGTCGCAGTCACAGCCTCAGCCTCAGCCTGCTCCTCCTCCTCCTCCCTCTTCCTCTGCTCGTCTCGTTCTCGTCCTCCTCCTTGCTCGTCCTCCTGGTGCTCTCTCCTCCTCCTCCTCCTCCTCCTCCTCCTCCTCCTCCTCCTCGTGGTCCTCGTTCTCCTCCTCCTGGTGCCTCCTCCTCCGTCTCCTGCTCGTCCTCCTCCTCCTGGTCCTCGTTCTCGTCCTCCTCGTCTTGCTCGTCCTCCTCCTCCTGGTGCTCTCTCCTCCTCCTCCTCCTCCTCCTCCTCCTCCTCCTCCTCCTCCTGGTGGTCCTCGTTCTCCTCCTCCTGGTGCTCTCCCCCCCCCTCCTCCTCCTCCCTCCTCCTCCTCCTCCTCGTCCTCCTCCTCCTCCTTCCTCCTCCTCCTCCTCCTCCTCCTCCTCCTCCTCCTGGTACTCCTCCCCCTCCCCTCCTCCTCCTCCTCCTCTCCTCCTGGTCGTCCTCCTCCTCCTGGTCGTCCTCCTCCTCCTGCTCGTCCTCCTCCTCCTCCTGCTCGTCCTTCTTCTCCTGCTCCTCCTGCTCCTCGTCCTGCTCCTGCCTCGTCCTCCTGGTCTTGCTCGTCCTCCTCCTCGTCGTGCTCTTGCCCCTGCTGAAAATGTGGCCCAGGAATGGGAGTTCTGGGAAGTCGAAGAGCACGAAGTTGCCTACAGTTGGCTACGGGCATTCAAAATGTGGCCCGGGAATGGAGTTCTGGGAACTCGAAGAGCACGAAGTGGCCTACAGTTGGCTCCGGGCATTCAAAATGTGGCCCGGGAATGGAGTTCTGGGAACTCGAAGACCACGAAGTGGCCTACAGTTGGCTCCGGGCATTCCAAAATGTGGCCCGGGAATGGAGTTCTGGGAACTCGAAGAGCACGAAGTGTGTGACTGTTGCATCCGGCCCTCCAGAATGTGGCCCGGGAATGGCGTTCTGGGAACTCGAAGAGCACGAAGTGTGTGATTGTTGCATCCGGTTATTCTAAAGGTGGCCCGGGAATGGCGTTCTGGGATCTCGAAGAGCACGAAGTGTGTGACTGTTGCATCCGGGTATTCAGAATGAGCCTGGGAATGGAGTTCTGGGAAGTCGAAGAGCACGAAGTGTGTGACTGTTGGCGAAAAACGAGCCCGGCACCCTGCCGCCCGGCAACTCCCAACACCTGCCCGGACCCCCCTGTGGAGTGATCTGTGAGCTCTTTTTAGACCACTAGAAACCTATCAGTCTTCGCTGTTAGGTAAATGCAGAATTCTTGACCATTTGCATATCCATCTTGGGCACTTTTCCAGCGTCCCACTTGTGGCTGCTCGGCTCGCGTCTTGCTTACGACATTCTCGACGGTGCGCGGTTGGCTCCGCGTCACTCGCAATCAATTATCCCGGCAAAGCAACCTAACAGCGATGTGTAGAAGCATATATGGAAACATTCCCCTTAAGATCCAGATGAGAATCCAGTTGTAGAATTCTCCTGTTCTCGCAGTCGCAGTCGCATTCGCGATGACAGTCGCAGTGGCAACGGCAGTCACAGTCACAGCCTCAGCCTCAGCCTGCCTCAGTATCAGCCTGCCTCAGCCTCAGCCTCAGCCTGCCTCAGCCTCAGCCTCAGCCTGCTTCAGCCTCAGCCTCAGCCTGCCTTCAGCCTCGGCCTCAGCCTCAGCCTGCCTCAGCCTCAGCCTGCATCAGCCTCAGCCTCAGCCTCAGCCTCAGCCTCAGCCTCAGCCTCAGCCTGCCTCATCAGCCTGCCTCAGCCTCAGCCTGCCTCAGCCTCAGCCTCAGCCTGCCTCAGCCTCAGCCTGCCTCAGCCTCAGCCTCAGCCTGCTTCAGCCTCAGCCTCAGTCTGCCTTCAGCCTCGGCCTCAGCCTCAGCCTGCCTCAGCCTCAGCCTGCATCAGCCTCAGCCTCAGCCTCAGCCTGCCTCAGCCTGCCTCAGCCTCAGCCTGCCTCAGCCTCAGCCTCAGCCTCAGTCTGCCTCAGTATCAGCTTGCCTAAGCCTCAGCCTCAGCCTGCCTCAGCCTCAGCCTCAGCCTGCTTCAGCTTCAGCCTCAACCTTAGCCTCAGCCTCAACCTTTTCCTCAGCCTCAGCCTCAGCCTGCATCAGCCTCAGCCTCAGCCTCAGCCTGCCTCAGCATCAGCTTGCCTCAGCGTGTGCCTCAGCCTGCTTCAGCCTCAGCCTCAGCCTCAACCTCAGCCTCAGCCTCAGCCTGCCTCAGCCTCAGCCTGCCTCAGCGTCTGCCTCAGCCTCAGCCTCAGCCTCAGCCACAGCCACAGCCACAGCCTCAGCCTCAGCCTCAGCCTGCCTCAGCCTCAGCCTGCATCAGCCTCAGCCTTAGCCTGCCTCAGCTTCAGCCTCAGCCACAGCCTGCCTCAGCCTCAGCCTCACCCTGCCTCAGCGTCTGCCTCAGCCTGCCTCATCCTCAGCCTCAGCCTCAGCCTCAGCCTCAGCCTCAGCCTCAGCCTGCCTCAGCCTGCCTCAGCCTCAGCCTGCCTCAGCCTCAGCCTGCCTCAGCCTCAGCCTCAGTCTGCCTCAGTATCAGCTTGCCTAAGCCTCAGCCTCAGCCTGCCTCAGCCTCAGCCTCAGCCTGCTTCAGCTTCAGCCTCAACCTTAGCCTCAGCCTCAACCTTTTCCTCAGCCTCAGCCTCAGCCTGCATCAGCCTCAGCCTCAGCCTCAGCCTGCCTCAGCATCAGCTTGCCTCAGCGTGTGCCTCAGCCTGCTTCAGCCTCAGCCTCAGCCTCAACCTCAGCCTCAGCCTCAGCCTGCCTCAGCCTCAGCCTGCCTCAGCCTCAGCCTCAGCCTGCCTCAGCAGCAGCCTGCCTCAGCCTCAGTTGGCTACGGGCATTCAAAATGTGGCCAGGGAATGGAGTTCTGGGAACTCGAAGAGCACGAAGTGGCCTACAGTTGGCTCCGGGCATTCAAAATGTGGCCCGGGAATGGAGTTCTGGGAACTCGAAGAGCACGAAGTGGCCTACAGTTGGCTCCGGGCATTCAAAATGTGGCCCGGGAATGGAGTTCTGGGAACTCGAAGACGACGAAGTGGCCTACAGTTGGCTCCGGGCATCCAAAATGTGGCCCGGGAATGGAGTTCTGGGAAATGGAAGAGCACGAAGTGGCCTACAGTTGGCTCCGGGCATCCAAAATGTGGCCCGGGAATGGAGTTCTGGGAAATGGAAGAGCACGAAGTGGCCTACAGTTGGATCCGGCCCCCCAGAATGTGGCCCGGGAATGGAGTTCTGGGAAATAGAAGAGCACGAAGTGGCCTACAGTTGCATCCGGCCCCCCAGAATGTGGCCTGGGAATGGAGTTCTGGGAAGGCGAAGAGCACGAAGTGTGTGACTGTTGGTGAAAAACGAGCCCGGCTCACTGCCGCCCGGCAACTCCCAACACCTGCCCGGACCCCCCTGTGGAGTGATCTGCTGCTCTTTTTTGATCCCACTAGAAACCTATCAGTCTTCGCTGTTAGGTAAAAAGTATCCATCCTGGGCCATCTTGGACGCTCCAACGCCTCGCGAACCCTGCCCTCCAGATCCAGGGGAGGGGGTAGGGGGAGGGGTAAATCCCTCACCGGAGGGGAACAGGGAAAAGTTGGATGAGAAACCGCCCTAGACCACCTACGCCCAGGGGGGTGGTGGCACCCACGGTGGTGGGATTCAGCCATCGTTGCCGCAACTACCGCGGCGTCAGCATCGCCTCCTCGCTGCCCTGCCGCCTCAGCATCACGAGGCCCCCCCGCACGTGCACGGGGCCAACAAGCTGGAGGAGCACGAGCCGCCGTCGCCGCAGATTCCCGAGGAAAAGGCGGGGATCTTGCAAGGGAAAAGGGGGCTGAGGGGATGAAGGAGGGGAAGGGAGAGAGAGAGAGAGAGAAAAAAAAAAGAAAGAGAGAGAGAGAGAGTGTGTGTGTGTGTGTGTGAAAGAGAGAGAGAGAGAGAGAGGAACAAAACGAAAATAAAGAAAGAAAGAGAAAGAGAGAGAGAGGAATAGACAACACACACACACTTTTTGGCGGTCACGGCCTAGCGCGTGGCGACGAGATGGAGCAACACACACACAGACACCCACACACACACACACCACGCACACACACACACACACCACGCACACACACACACACACACACCCACACACACACCACACACACACTTTTCGGCAACTCGGCTTGCAGTCAACCCACGTGCAACGGGACGCACACACACATACATACCCCCTACACACACTGTTCGGCAACTCGTCATGCCGTCAACCCTCGTGAGCCGGGACACACACACATATATCCACACACACACGCACACACACACACACACACACACACGCGCACACTCGCACACACACACACACACACTCGCTCACGCACACGCGCACCCGCACAAGCACACATGCATCCACGCACACTCACACACACCATACACACACACACACACACACACACACCACATGCACACACACACACACACTTTTGGGCGTCGCGGCCTCGCGCGCAGCGTCGAGGCGTAGAAAGTCGGAAGGCGGGGAACGCGCGCGCGCGCGGCCGGCCCACCCAGGAGCCAGGGGCAGGGGTCCACGGGCGGGGATCGGCCGCAAGGGGAGGCGGCCGCGCCCCACCAGGGCAGGGAAAACGTAAGACTCGAGTAAGGCGGAACCTCGGGTTTGCCTGCGCTTTTGGGCGAGCGCGTCCTGGATTTTTGGCGGTCCAGTTTTCGCTTGATTTTTGCAGAGGGAGCTCGCGTCAAATTTCGGGCTGGGTCTCGTCGTTTTTATGATGGCCCCGTCAGGCCAACCAGAGTCCCACGTACGCGAGTCTTACGTCTCCCCGTCAGGGGGTCGGGAGCCTCCTCGGGCCTGGATTCGGCGCACGACGGCTGCGATGCGGCAGGTTACCTCCGGGGAGGGGGGGGGCTGCCCAGAGATCCAACTCATCGAAAAAAATCAAGACGCAGGTTTTTCTCAATGTTCGGCCTCAAGGGGCCCTCGCCGAGCCCCGGGACCGCCCAGAGACGACTCGGGATGAAAAGGCCGGTCCTGGGGAAGGGGTCGAGACGTGCGGGGGCCCCGCGTGGAAGAAATGACGACGTCGGATCCTGGGGTGGCGGGCCCACCGGCGGAACGGTCAAGCCCTGGCCGTGGGCGGGGCATCCCTCCCGCCAGGGGCTGCGCGGCGGGGCGCCGCGCAGCCCAGGCCCAGTGCGCCCGGAGGGCGGCGCAGTGCGGGCGGAGGGCGGCGGCACTGCGCGGCCCGTGCGGAGGGCGGGGCCGCGCCCGCGTGGGAGCGGCGGGGCGCGCGGTGTCTCCTGCACGGTGCCCTGGGAGCTCGCCGCTCGGAGGGCGGGGCGCGCGCGGCGGCCCTGCGGCCTTCCTCGGCGCCGCGCGGCGGCCGAGCGGCGGGCTGCCTCGAGGGCGCGCGCCCCGGCCAGGCTGGGCCGAGCCGCCCCGCCGCAGGCCCCCGCGCTGCGGCCCGGCTCGGTGCCACGAGCGTCTCTGGGCGCGCGCTGCCCCGCGTGGCGCTGCAGCTCCAGGCGCCTCCTCCAGGAGAGCATACACTCTCGGAGGGGTGTTGGCACCCATGGGATGCAGGCGGTGTCCAGGAAGCTTGCGAGCTGCGCGGCGGTGTAAAGGTAGGGGTCGCCGTGAGGGGGGGGGGTGCTGGTGGCACTCATCGCGCCACAGCTGGACAGCCTCCTGCGCTTTTGGGGCCCCCCATGCGCGGATGTCGCTCGCGCGCTGAGCGAGGTCCTGGCTCGTGACCTCCTCCTCTGGCGCGGCGCACGGGTGCGCTGCTTGGCGAGTGCGAGCGCCTTCGGCTGATGCGGAGACTTGCGCAGAGCGTGGGCAGACCAGGGACCCCGCGGGCGGAGGAGGGGCCTGGCGTGCACCAGTCGGAGTCCCGGCCATTGGAGTCCCAAGGCGCGCGGGGGGCCGAGCAGGGCATGCCGCGGAGGGCTACGGGGGGGGTGGGGCAACCGCAGCTGGGACGGGTGCGGGGGAGACCAGGGTTGGGGACCGCCCCCTGCTGCGTGCGCGTCTGGTGAGCGTCTCGTTAGTAGAACCGAGGAGGCCGCCATCCCGTTCGCCAGGAGGCGGTGCTGCGGAGGGGCCGCGGGCGGCGGAGGCGCCAGGCCTGACGGCGCCGCGTGAGGCGTAGCGGCTGCTGGCGGGGGCCATGTCGCCAGCGGAGTCGGTCAGGCGTGGGCGGCGGTCGCCACGCCCCAGAGGGTCGCCAGGCTCTCACGGGGTCACGGGCATCGGGGCTCAAGGGACGAGGGTCAATGCAAACGAGGGCAAGCCAGGGCGCCGGATCTTGCAGGATCCTCCAGAGCTAGGACTGCATCGACCCAGACTAGCGTGCAGGATCTTGCAGAATCCTGCAAGGCCAGACTGGCCCAGGTTTGCGGTGACCCTGGCCAGTGCGCCCCCCAAGGTGATCTCTGCTGAGGAGGAACCCGTGAAGGGCTGCCGCGTGGAGCGGGGCATTCGGGGAGAGTCGTGAACAGGGCCGCCGGTCGGTGTGGGGAACTGCGGGTGCCCAAGGCGCTGAGGAGGATGGTTGTGGCCGTCGGCAGCCGCCCTGACAGAGGGCTGTCCCGCCAAGCGGCGCGGCGCTGGGGAGCGGTGAGGGTCTGCCGCGGGCGCGGCGGATTCGACCGCGGTCGTGCCTCCGCCGCCAGGAGGGCCGCTGGAGGCGGCGGCGGCGGCTGGCCAGGGCGGGGGGGGGGTCGCGGGTGGGTCGCGGGTGAGTCGCGGGTGTGTCGCGGGTGGCTCGCGGGTGGGTCGTTGGGTGGGTCGTTGGGTGGGTCGCGGGTGGGTCACGGGTGGGTCGCAGGTGGGTCGCGGGTGGGTCGCGGGTGGGGTCGCGAGTGGGTCGCGGGTGGGGTCGGGTGGGTCGCGGGTGGGGTCGCAAATAGGTCGCAGGTGGGTCGCGGGCGGGTCTCGGTGGGGACGGCGCAACAAAACAACAAGTAGAATCTTCGCCGTGGATCCCCGCTTCAGCCACGCACCCAAGGACAGTGAATGACGGTTCGGCCCCTTTCACTCTGATATGCATGTGTGTGTGTGTCCGTGTATATTTACAGGCGGCACGTGCGTGCCCAGGCTCATACAGCACGCAAGTATCGCAGAACATTCTCTCAGGAAGAGGAATCTGGAGTCGGATCCAAGAAGGAGAAGGAGGAGGAAAAAAGGAGATGGAGGAACAGAAGGAAAGTTAGAGAAGGAGGATAACGAGGATCACCAGGACACTGTTGGGAAGGAAGTGCACTAGCGGGACCACAGTCGAATGCAGGTGGAGCTGCCACATCTTGCGATGTGTGTTTGTGGCGCAGGAGGGTGTTCCGCACCTTGCGGTTGCTATGTTTGGGAGGATGCCTTAAGCTCAATTGTGGTTCTGAAGAATATGAGGACAAGCTTGAATACCGAAACTTTTGTTTTTAAGAGCGAAATCCAAAGTGAACACCGATGTGTTTTTGAAGGTCTTCATGCTGTAACGTTGAAAGTCCACTGTGTTTTGGAACGTGACGTCGCGATCTGCGTGAGGGGTGCGCCCGATGTTCGGAACTGTGAGGACGTCCCGAGCGAAACGGCCAGAAAAAGGGAGGGACGGCTTCAAATTAATCATCTCTGAGCTCTCCTCCCTCGGAAAAGTATGTATGGTTATAGGTATAGATATGTGTACAAACATACATACATACACATACACACACACACACACACCGGACGGGAGGTAACTAACGTTAAGTCGGGCGTGTCCCTCTACAGGAGGAAAATTCGCAAATAGTCAAAAAATAGTCAGGGCAAGATTTTGTTGACAATGTTTGATCATGTTTGCATCTTCTTGGGATGTTTTAACAATGTATCATTTGTCTCCCAGAATCCGCCTGTAGGGGGACATGCCCGACCTAGAACGAACCTAGTGTAATCAATACCTTATTGAACCAACGTAGCGTAAGAGGAACCAGGGCTTGGCTGGGCCTGGGCCATTATAACAAACGCAGTGTAATCAAAGTCGTGTAAGATAGGAGGAGCCCGGGCTTGGCTGGGCTTGGGCCAGTGTCAGTAACGTAGTGTAATGAAAGTGAAAACATGCGGATCTGGAGCAGGACGAGGGGAGGAGGAGGCGGAGGAAGAGGAGGAGGAGGAGGAGGAGGAGGAGGAGTAGTGTCGAGGAGCAGTATCAACAGCGTAGTGCCAACAGCGCAGTGTCGACAGCGTCGTGTCACAGGAGGGGCAGTGCAAACGTATCCGCGCATGTTTGTTACAATTGTGTGAAATTGTGTCTATGCATATACATGTGTTGAAATGGCTGAGCTTCAAGGCTATGTAGGATACGTTACGTGAAGTACATCACGTATGTTACACTACGTAAAACACCTTTTCGTATAGCACGCTACGTAACAGTACACTGCGTGAAGTACATATACGTGAAATAAATACAAGTGGAATGCATTACGTAACAGGCACTGCGTAAATGCACTACGCAACATATATTACGTGAGATACACTGGCACTTCACTTTAAGGTTAGAAACAACTCACCCCTGTTGCAAGCCATGTTATGCCGTTTGCCTACGCATTCGTCTGCAATGAAGCGAGTGACGACCCCGAGTGGCCGCCGCTCCGATCGCTCCACCGAGCGACGACCAGGAGGAGTGTGTTTCTGGTCTCTGCCTTCGCTCCTGCCACCCTGTCTCTGGCTCGCTGCGCGTGCGAGTGCTTGCTCTCGCGCGATCCTCATTGATTCCTAGGGCCCTTGGCCTTAGAGATGCGTCTCCACGCCGCTCGAGAGCAAAAGGAAGATCAGCGATATCTTCCATTTGCCCGTAGATTTTTGTATGATTTCATGGTTCTCGCCTTCGGCCCAAGCTGGCCTAAGGAGCTTCCCCGAGACCCCCAAGCTCCAGGGGGCTGCAAGATGGCCCAGAGGACTTTAAGATGCCCCGAGGGGGCTCCAAGAGAGCCTCTGGAAGGGCTCCAAGACGGCGGAAGAGGCACTCAAGAGCCATGGTCAAGGGGTGGCGGACCGCAGTGGGATTTAGCACATAGTCCGCCCGGGCGTGGAGTCTTCGCCGAGGCGCGCCTGCAGGGGAGATGGAGAGGGGAGGGAAGGGGACGGCGAGGAGGAGGAGGAGGAGGAGGAGGAGGAGGAGGAGGAGGAGGAAGGGAGGAGGAGGAGGAGGAGGAGCAGGAGGGGGAGGAGGAGGAGGAGGGAGGAGGAGGAGGAGGAGGAGGAGGAGGACGAGGACGAGGACGAGGACGAGGAGCAGGAGCAGGAGCAGGAGGAGAAGGAGGAGGAGGAGGAGGAGGAGGGAGAGGGGAATGAAGGGGACGGCCAGGGGGGGAGCAGGGAAGGCGCCCAGGGAAGGGAGGGGGAGGGGGCCGGGGGTCCAGGAAACCAGACCCAGCGAGCCCCCGTCGTACGTGCTGCAGGCGCGGCGCTTGGACAACGGCGCCGGGTACAAGATGAGCAGGTCGGTGTGGGACAGCTGCCTGTTCGTGGGCCTGAGCGCCATTGGCCCGACCGTCTCCGCCATGACGGTGGTGATTGGCCCCGTGCTTGCTCGCGCGCCTCTCTGTGTATTTTCTGTTCACGGCCCTCCTGCGTAGGGTTCCCATCTTCGCAGGCCTAGAGGTTGGCACCAACACCCATATCGGCGGTGTTCCTCCACCGTGGGAAGAGGATCCCGATCTCGGTGATGGTGGCAATATTCTGGCTTCCGAGGTGACCGAAATATTACCACCAGCACCGACATCTAGGAGAATCTTCCCCCTGTGGAGGCAACCCCTTTGCGTTGGTGTTGGTGCCCATTTCCAGGCCTCCAACATCTTCCCAGGCCCATCCGCCGTCCCCGTTCTTCTCCTCGGTCTTTCCCTCCCCGCCTTCTCCTTGTGGCACGTGGGCCCGCCCGGCCGACGCATTTGCCCCCTTCACGCGCCCACCCGCTACGTGGACTACAGCTGAGGCCCCAGTGGGCGCGTCCACATGTTGACCATGAAGCCGAATCGGCCACCCCGTCATCGCAGGGAGGAGAAGTGGCACCACCATCCTCAGCGGGCCACCACCTCCAGCGAGGAGGCCCCCTTCTGCCTCCCCCAAGCTGGGGATTGGAGATGTCCGTAGCAGGACGCCGCGACGGTAGCGTGCCGAGTTGCGGGCTCTGGTCCAAAAACGCTTCGGCGCGACACGCGAAGCACGCCCCAGTCCTCAGGCATCAACGTTGCGAGCTTTTCCAAGATCCCCCTCCCACGAACCAGGGTGGCCCGCAATCAGCTTGCAAGGCATTGCGTGTCGCAGGGGCCGCCGCCGCGACACGCTCAGCAAATGTTCCCGACCGCAGAACGACCCACTCCTCACGCAACCCGCCACCCCTTGCTGAGCTGCAAAACGGGGGCCTCGGCGGGCTTGCACATATTGGCCGGACAGCAGCGCGGGAGAAATAGACAAAGGTCGGACGGGGCCAGGACAAGCGTAAATCCGTGCCAGGGCGTTCCGGAAAGCTCTCAGAGCGATCCAGAGCGTTCTGAGAAGGCCGCGGCGCCCGAGACATCCTCCAGAGCCGCTGGATCCCAGAGATTCTCGAGGTATCCTCACGTGTTTTTTTCATCGTCCTGGCTTCGTCTTAGAAGGCCTTGACCACCCCCAGTCCCACTCCACCCCCCACGGATGATGATGATGATGATGATGATGATGATGATGATGATGATGATGATGATGATGATGATGATGATGATGATGATGATGAGGAGGAGGAGGAGGAGGAGGAGGAGGAGGAGGAGGAGGAGGAGGAGGAGGAGGAGGAGGAGGAGGAGGAGGAAAGGAGGAGAAGAGAGGAGGAGGAGGAGAGGAGGAGAGGAGGAGGAGGAGGAGGAGGAGGAGGAGGAGGAGGAGGAGAGGAGGAGGAGGAGGAGGAGAGCAGGAGGAGCAGGAGGAGGAGGAGGCGGAGGAGAAGGAGGAGGAGGAGGAGGAAGGAGGGGGAGGAAGGAGGCGGAGGAGGAGGAGGAGGAGCTGGAGCAGGAGGAGGAGGAGGAGGAGGAGGAGGAGGAGGAGGAGGAGGAGGCGGCGGAGAAGGTCCTCGGCCTCTCAGAGGAGGCGCCGGGCTCATGGGGGGAAGCGGTTGCAGGCGCGCTCGGGCACCTTATCATCAAATTTCCGCGTACGCAGTCAGCAGGCAGCACGGCGGCCCGGCCGCGCGCGTACAGTGGCCATTGAGAGCGCATCAGGAAAGTGCTGGAGGACGCAGGCGAGCTACGCTGGTGGAGCCAAGCCAGCCAGGCGCAGCGGCTCCAGCGCACCTCTGGCAGGCAACGAGGTGTCCCAGATTTGGCGGCAGGGTGCCCAGCAGACATTCATCACCACCTACCAAACCACCCCAACCCAACCCGAAGGCCTCAATTTGCCATCGATTTCCAGTGGGGGGGTGGGGTCGGGGAACGTTGAAAAACACATGGTATCCGTACCCCCCTCCAACCCGAAATTCGGGTCAAATTCGGGTCTTCGGGTCGGGTTGGGGTGGTCTGGTAGGTAGTCAGACATGATCCGCGCCTGGGCATGCCTCGCGCTGCAGGGCGCCTTCAAGATGGACCGGGCAGGCGGCATGCAGCCGCGCTGGCTGCGCCGGGCCTCCTCGGAGTCCTCACCCAGTGCGAGGCGGCGGACGGCTGGCCGCGGCGGCGCCGGCGCCCCCAGAGCAGGCGGGCCGGCCAGCGCGCTGGCTCCTCGGGGCCTGCCCACCAGTAAGGGGATCAAGGCGTCTCGTGGACTGCTGCAGGGGGACAAGCCACAGGGTTTGCTTGAATGGCCCGCGGGGCAGCTTGGCCATTTGAGGGAGCAGGTTGCGACCCGCTGTGGCCTCTCACGAGGGAAGGTCGCCTCGTGAGCAGACGTCCAGGGCCCTGGCGTGCAGGGGCTCCTCTTCTAGTGCAGGTCAAGAGGTCAATCGGCTGAGGCGGCGGGCTTGGTCCGCCGCCTGGAGAAGCGCCGCGAGCCGCGCACACGGGGCTTGGCATCGCTCGGACGTGTGCGTTTTTGTTTTCGGCGAGGACCATCGAGGAGCGCATTGGATCATCTTACGAGAAAGCAGACGCACGAAGTCGAAGAATGCACGGGCGATGGACGTCCGAGCGGTGGCGAGTGGCGGGAGAGAAGACGTCGAGGACAGGGGGGGCCCTGGTGTGGCTTGGGGGCTGTGGGCCGCGGCGGGGCGCAGCTCCCGTGGGCGGGCAGTGGACCTCGGGCCGCTCCCCCCGCCTTCGTCTGGAGGTCGGAGAGAGGTGTGGCATAAAGGGATGTGGTGCCGATCGTGGAAGTGGCGATATGGTCTACGATAGATGACCTCGCCAGATCCAGCATTGGCACCACACCCCTTCACACCACACCCTTTTTTGCTACCCCTAGACTGAGAGAGGGAGGAGCCTTGGCACTTGGCCGTGCGACCAGCCAGCGAAGCAGTGGCCACCGGCCGTATAGGCGGGGCGGGGCGCCCCGGGTGCCAGGGCCAGGGCACAGAACGAGCCTTCGCCGATCCTCCCTCTCGGCATCGCTTGGACGTGTGCATGTCTTCCCGGCAAGGGCCATCGAGGAGCATCCTGGGTCATCTTGCGAGGGGAAATGCACGCACGAAGCCGGTAAACGCACAAGGAATGGACGCCCGAGCGATGGCGAGGTGTCGGCTGCCCGGCCCAGGGCTGGCGCCAGGGCGCCCTGAATCGCCCTGGGGCCCCGGGGACGCGCGTGGTGACCAAAGCCCGGCTCAGGGGGGCCAGCCCGGTTGGCGACCCGGCGTCTAAGTGTACCGTTTTGGGGCCGGATCGGTGCACTTGGGACGCCTGCTCGCGGGAACCCGGGGGTGCGGTTCGGGGGGGGTCCAGGGTCCTCGGAGGGCGGGTCCGGGGGTCCCAGGATGAGGGTGAGGGTGACGATGAGGATGAGGGTGGGGATGCGGACCAGGAGGAGGAGGAGGATAAGATGATGATGATGATGATGATGATGATGATGATGATGATGATGATGATGATGATGATGCTGATGCTGATGCTGATGCTGATGCTGATGCTGATGCTGATGCTGATGCTGATGCTGCTGGTGGTGCTGATGATGATGATGATGATGATGATGATGATGATACTGATGATGACGATGATGATGATGATGATGATGCTGATGCTGATGCTGATGCTGGTGCTGATGATGATAATGCTGATGCTGATGCTGATGCTGCTGGTGGTGCTGATGATGATGATGATGATGATGATGATGATGATGCTGCTGATGCTGATGCTGATGCTGATGCTGCTGCTGATGATGATGATGGTGGTGGGGGTGATGCAGATGATGGTGATGATGGTGATGATGATGGTGGTGGTGATGATGATACTTCTGCTGATGCTGATGATGATGCTGGTGATGAGGAGGATGAGGATGAGGAGGAGGATCAGGATCAGGATAAGGATGATGAGGAGGAGGATGAGGATGAGTATGAGGATGAGGATGAGGATGAGGATGATGCTGATGATGATGGTGATGATGGCGATGATTTTGATGATGGTGATGGTGATGATGGTGGTGATGATGAGGACCATGATGCTCATTATGATGGTGGTGGTGGTGGTGGGGGCAGTCGTGATGATGATCATGGTGATGATGGTGGTGGTGAGGGTGATGATGGTTATGGTGATGATTGTGATGATGATGATGATGATGATGATGATGATGGTGGTGATGATGAGGCTGATGATGATGGCGATGATGAGGAGGATGAGGATGAAGATGAGGATGATGATGCTGATGATGCTGATGATGATGCTGATGAGGATTATAATGCTCATGCTGATGCCGATGATGATGAGGATGATGATGCTGCTGCTGCTGCTGATGATGGTGATGATGATGATGGTAAGGGTGATGGTGACGGTGATGATGGCGAAGGTGATGATGATAGTGCTAGTGATTCGCTGATGCTGATGATGGCCATGATGACGCTGATGATGATGGTGACGATGATGCTGGAGGTGGTGGTGGTGGTGGTCGTGATGATGTTGATGACGGTGGTAGTGGTGAGGATGATGATGGTTATGGTGGTGATGGTGATGATGGTGATGATGATGGTGGTGGTGATGATGATACTTCTGCTGATGCTGATGATGATGCTGGTGATGAGGAGGATGAGGATGAGGATGAGGATGTGGATGAGGATGAGGATGAGGATGATGCTGCTGATGATGATCATGCTGATGATGATGCGGATGATGATGATGATGATAAGGAGGAGGAGGAGGAGGAGGAGGAGGATCCGCAGCCTTTTTGGCTCAAGCCGCGGTTGCCCAGTACTGTGGCAGGTGCTCCAGCCCTCAGGGGGCCAGCCTCGATCGACATTCCCCATCCCCGACCACCACCTGCAATCTTCTTCACCCATCATTTGTTATCTTCCGCTTCGACTACCGATTGTCCCTCCCTCAGGTGTCGTCAGCAGCACACATCCATCATCATTCAGGAGGAGACCATGAAGAGCTACGAGGCGGCCACGGCGGCTACGGCGGCGCCGGCGC